GTCACCACGACCCCGCCTGCGTCCCGGATGCCAGCCCGGCGGCGGGCCTCTACGCCAATGCCTCCCGGTTTCACGGCGTCCAGCCTCTTCACCGGGGTCCACATCCCGGGCCGTGGCCGTGGGCCACCCCCCTGCACACCCCGGGTCCCACCCAGCGCTTTTCCGACGTCTCCGAATCCGGCCGTGCGCCTCCTCCTCCCCGCCTCCACCTGAGTCCGGCCACCGTCTGTGGGTTGGGGGTCTCGCCCTCCTCTGTCCCCCTCCCATAACCTCCTCCCACCCCCGGCCAGAGGGTCCAGGTGGCGCTGCCCGGCAGTCCCTCTCGTGGCTTCACTGTTTCCCCGGAGCAGAGCCTGGCCGGCCGGGCAGGCGTTGAGACTGCAGGAGTGGACGGCGGTGGGTGGCGGGCGCCAGGGGCCGGCTGGACCTCCTGCCTGCCCCCCCGGAGTCCTGGGGTGAGTGGGAGGGCGAGTGAGAAGGCCCCAGACTCCACCCAGGGAGGGCAAGAGGGGTGGCCGGCGTACCTGCTTCTCCCCAGCAGGTGTCTTCCCAACTCTGGGCCGCGCGATCCGTGCTCAGGTGGGAGGCAGGTCCCAGGCGGGGAAACCCAAGCCCACAGCAGGCAGGTGTCATTTGTTTCAAGCCTTTAGGTGAGTGCAACTTCAGAAGATTCCTTATATCCCTTCCCCTCCTGGGTTCTCCAAGGGGGAGCTGCACAGACAAGTGAGCAGGCAAAGTGGCCCAGTGGGCACCCTGAATGGGAATCGGGGGTGACGAGATTCCAAAGCTGGTTTGAAGCCTTAGGTTTCTATCTGCAGAGTTCAGACCCAAACCCAGGGCTACAGGACCCTGGCCTTAACTAGTCCTAATCTGCTAGATGTGTTTTCCCGTGGGTGTGACTTCATTTTTTAAAATTAATTTTATAATCCTCACCAGAGGATAGGTTTTTATTGATTTTTTTAGAGACAGAGAGGGAGAAACATCAATTGATTGCATCTGGGGATGGAGCTGAACTCTAGGTATGTGCCAGGACTGGGAATTGAACCTGCAACCTTTTTGGTGTATGGGTTGAGGGTCCAACCAACTGAGCAACCTGGCCAGAGCATGAGTTTATTTCTTAATATAAGAAATATAGCCCTAACCAGTTTGGCTCAGTGGATAGAGCATCTGCCTGCGGACTCAAGGGTCCTGGGTTCGATTCCAGGCAAGGGCATGTACCTTGGTTGCAGGCACATCCCCAGTGGGGAGTGTGCAGGAGGCAGCTGATCGATGTTTCTCTCTCATCGATGTTTCTAACTCTCTATCCCTCTCCCTTCCTCTCTGTAAAAAATCAATAAAATATATTTTTAAAAAAAGAAATATAATTACAACCCAGATGGTGTGGCTCAGTGGTTGAGCGTCGATCCATTCACCATGAGGTCCAGGCACATGCCCAGGTTTCTTCGGGCTCGGTCCCCAGTGGGGTGTGTGCAGGAGGCAGCAGATCAATGATTCTCTCTCATCATTGATGTTTCTATCTCTCTCCCTCCTCCTTCCTCTCTGAAATCAATAAAAAATATATCTTAAAAAACAGAAATACAATTATAGAGACAACACATTAATTGTAATCAGCGAAGCCATTTGGACACATATAAAGGAAAAAGTATTAACAACACTCCCACCCCCGTGTCATGGGTCCCGAGGATTATCCCCTGTCCTGCTTTCAGTTCTTGGGGTATACACAGAAATGGAATTCCAGAAGTGAAATTGCTGAGTCAGATGGCAATTCTACGTTTAATTCTTTGAGGAACTGCCATCCTATTTTCCACAGCAGCTGCCCCATTTCCCATTTCATATTCCCATGAACACCCTCCCCTGCCCACCTCCACAAGGGAAAATAGAAATTAAACCTGAAGGTGCCATATGAAGAACCTTTAAAAGACTTTCTATGGCAGGGTCTCCCCCTCAGCACTGTTTACATCAGGAGTCCAGTTATTCTCTGTGTATAGGGGCACAGGGTGCTTCCTGGGCATTGTGAGATGTTGAGCAGTATCCCTGCCCTCCACCTACTGGATGCCAGGAGAACCCTGAGATGTGACAACCACAGATGTCCCCAGACACTGCCAATGTCCCTGCAAGCTAATATGAGGCGTGGGAGGCAACTCTCCTGGGACCCAAATTTAGAGGGTGTGTGTGTGCGTGTGTGTGTGTGCGCGCGCGCACGACGCGCCAAATTACCAGGTTTAACATGCTTGAAGCCGAGAAAACCAACGATGCCAGATACTGAATTTATATCGCACTGTCCTTTGAACACCCAGCAGGAATAAACTGCTGAATGCAGATACCATGCAGTGTATCAGAATGTTAAAATTTTAAGTAAATACAGAATTGAGCAAACAGTGCTGTGTCAAGCCATTTTGGAGACCAAGACAAAATGAGACATGCCCCTTTTATGTCGTTTTAAAATTATTTTTTACGTATTTATTTAATTTTTATGTAGTTTTTTTTAACGATTAAGTTTTTCCCCCAGATCATTAAAGTCATTGAAAAAGTATTGCCCTAGCTGGTTTGGCTCAGGATAGAGCGTCGGCCTGAGGACTGAAGGGTCCTGGGTTCAGTTCCACTCAAGGGCATATGCCTGGGTTGTGGGCACGATCCCCAGTAGGGGGTGTGCAGGAGGCAGCCGATCAATGATTCTCTCTCATCATTGATGTTTCTATCTCTCCCTCTCCCTTCCTCTCTGAAATCAATAAAAAAAATATTTTTTTAAAAAAAGAAAAAAGTATTAAGATATTGAGAAGAAATTGTATTAAAACTTGGTATACTTTGAACTTAGATATTCTATTTGTACCCATACCTGAATTTATTAGAATTTCACTTTTCTGCCTCTCACAGAAGCAAATATATATTGTTGTTGTTAATCTTCACCCAAGGATATTTTTCCATTGATTTTTAGAGAGAGTGGGAGAGAGGAAAGGGGAGAGAGACAGAGAGAGAGGAAGAGAAATATCGATATGAGAGGGACACATTGATTGGTTGCTTTTCTTGCACCCCAACCAGGACTGCAACCCAGGTTCATGCCCTTGTCTAGGAATCTAACCTCAGACCCTTTGGTGGGTGGGCCAACGCTCTAACCACTGAACACACCGGCCAGGGTGTGGACAGTATATTTTTAAACAGTTGTCTCTACCTCTAGATTTTTTTTCTTTTCCGCCTCTAGATTTTTTAAAAATTAAATTTCTTGAGGTAACATTGGTTAGCAACAGTATATGAATGTCAGGCATATAATACAGCATCCGTGTTGTGTACTCCATTATATGCTCACTACCTGAAGACTAGTGTCCTTCCGTCACCTTGTATTTTACCTCTTTTTAAAAATATATATATTTTTACTGATTTCAGAGAGGAAGGGAGAGGGAGGTAGAAACATCAATGATGAGAGAGAATCATTGATTGTCTCCTGCACACCCACCCACACAAAATCTCCCAAAGCTTCCTGTACAAAATTGCTGATTCCCGCTGTTCCAATACCGTTTTCTGTTGTTACCCATTCATGTTTCTCTGAATTTACACACCGATAGCAGATTGGGGCTGGTGCACAGTGTCTGGAGGGCACCCACCCTTAGGCCCCAGGGTTGTGGTGGGCAGGGAGTGGTGGGTGAGGCAGCAGGGAGGCTGCAGGCCACTCAGAGCACCATGTCCGTAGGGGTGCCCATTCTAAATTTTTTGAGGAACCTGCATACTGTTTCCCATAGTGGCCACGCCAATCTGCATTCCCACCAACAGTGCATGAGGGTTTCCTTTTCTCCACTTCCTTGCCCATACTTGTTGATTTATTGATGATAGCCATTCTAACAGGTGTGAGGTGATATTTCATTGTGGTTTTAACTTGCATTTCTCTGGTGATTAGTGATAATAAAGCATCTTTTCATATGCCTATTGGCCATCTGTATGTCCTCTTTGGAGAAGTGTCTGTTTAGGCCCTCTGCCCATTTTTTAATTGGATTATGTTTGTGGTTGAGTTCTATGAGTTCCTTTTGTATTTTGGTTATTAACCTTATCGGAGGTACCATTTGCAAATATCTTCTCCCATTGGTTTTCTTTTTGTTTTTTGATAGTTTTTTGGGCTATGCAGAAGCTTTTTTAAAAAATGTATTTTTATTAATTTCAGAGAGGAAAGGAGAGGGAGAGAGAGAGAGAAACTGTGCCACACTGGCTGGGCTTTTTAGTTTGATGTAGTCCCATTTGTTTATTTTTTGTTTTACTTCTCTTGCTTTTGGGATCAAGTTTACAAAAAGCCGTATGAGACCAAGGTCCATAAATTTAGTATCTATGTTTCCTTCTATGTTTTATTGTTTTAGGTCTTACATTTAAGACTTTAATCCACTTTAAGTTAATTTAAAATTATTTTTGATTTCAGAGAAGGAGAGGGAGAGAGAAACATCAATGATGAGAGAGAATCTATCTCCTGCACGCCCCCTACTGGGGATCGGGCCCACAACCCGGGCATGTGCCCTTAACAAATCAAACCTGGAACCCTTCAGTCCTCAGGCGGACGCTCTATCCACTGGGCCAAACCAGCTAGGGCTAAGTTAATTTTTATTATGGTGTCAGCAGTCTAGTTTCATTCTTTTGCGTGTGGCTTTCCCGTTTTCCCAAAGCCATTTATTGAAGAGGCTGTCTCCATTTTGTGTTTTTGGCTCTTTTGTCGAAAATTAGTTGCCCAATGTGTGAATTTCTTTCCGGACTCAGTTCTGTTACACTGGTCTGTGTGTGTGTGTGTTTCTGCCAGTACCGTACTGTTTAATTACTGTGACCGAGTCAGGGAACGTGATGCCCTTGGTTATTCATGGTACCTGACGGATTGTTTCTCCCTGCATTTGAGGCAGTGAGCTCTTGTTTAGAAACTGTTTTGCTTTTAGCAGTTCAGCAGGTTGGTAAGTACAGGTCTTTTCTTTTCCAATAGGAGGTGCTGTAGTGCAAGTTTGTTCTCGTCTTCAGCTTTGCTGTTTTGCTAGTAATGGCGGCTCCTAGTCCACAGCTGCCACACCAACTGTGCCGCAGATCTGCCCTTCACCGGGTTTAGCTGTACTAGGTGCTGGCTACTCAGGCCAGAATTCTGCGCCTCCTACCCCCCAGCTGCCATGCGGGGGCTACAACCTGACTCCACAACTACCTACTGTGTCAGCAGAGCTGTGGTGAACAACGACCTGCATCTTGTGGCACCGTTTCTGTCCTTCCTCATCCCGCATCCCCTGCTCATTCTGATGCGTCACCTTCAGATGTCCCCGTGCACAATCTCTCAGGCATATCTGGGTGCTGAGCAGGGTCCTTTGTTGAATTACAGTTGTCTGACTTTAAGGGGAGAGACAAAGGGGTCTTCTCACTCTCTATGATGTTGATGTCACTCCTCAGATACGTTTTTCTTAAAACTATTAACTATTTCAAAAATGCCTAAAAATACAGGAATTGGGGCATGTTTCCTTTTGCACAGCCTGTCCACGCTGCATGTGTTAAATACTGTTAACAAAAATTTATGAATACTCATTTATCTCACAATTCACCATGTATTTAAGTGACAGATATGTTTTTATATGTCTGAAAGAACATCTCAAGTATTATAAATAGCAATGACAAGAAATGAACATCCCTGG